TTTTTTACTTGATTGAAAGATTGAGGTTTGAAAGCACAGATGGCTAAATTTGTTTAAGATTCTGAGTCCATTCAGTTTTTTGCCACTGTTATATAATGCATGTTTCCAAATTAAACCAATCATATTTTCCCATTCCTGTGAATTCTAGGATAGCACATATCATACTCACTCTTATATCTTAGCTATTTATGCACATCTGAAGTTCTTGGTAAAATTATAAGCTCCTGGGAAACAGGGGCATTTCATCTGCTTATTGTGTGCCCTACAACACTTAAAGCAATGTTGTGCACAGTTTGGGTTCTCTTTAAATATTTAGCACATCAGTAGACTTTGTAACAAATGGGATATTCACAATGAAGAAATAATACTATAGTCCATTTTGGAGCTCAAAAACTCCAACGAATGTAGTTGACTTGAGATATATGTATGCATTTTGTGGTGCTTTGTTTACAGAAAAAGTAAAACATGAAATTAAAGAAGAAACTACAAAAATATCTTTGCTACTTTTTCAGAGACTTAACAACAATAACAAATACAGCTACAACAACAACATTTGGCTGAATGCGGTCGCTCACGGTAGTAATCCCAGCACTTTGAGAAGCCAAGGCAGGAGGATCACTCGAGGCCAGGAGTTTGAGACGTCTGGGCAACACAGCAAGACCCCCATCTCTACAAACTGTTTTTTAAAAAGTTAGCTGGGCATGGGGGTGCATGTTTATAGGATTAGCTACCTGGGAGGCTGAGGGCGTTGGATTGCTTTAGCTCAGGTGTTTAAGGTTACAGGGAGCTATGATCATGCCACTTGCATTCCAGCCTGGGTGACAAAGTAAGACTCGGTCTCTAAAATTAAATTAAATTAAAATTTAAAAAAAAAAAAAAAACACTGTCTATCCCCTGCAAAGTTTTACAATACTGATATAATTATTTAGTTTTAATCAGGTTTGCCAGTTTCTGTCAGGTGCTGCAAAAGCAACATTTAAACAGAATATGGCTAGATGGACTACTTTCATATGTGCAAATGCTGCAGGTTTTCCCAAAATAACCTGTTAGAAATTTCATTGCTATTTTAAGACTTACAGAACACTGCCTAATATATGGATGATCAAATTCTCTTTTTCTAAAGGCAAAATCAATACATTCTGTGATCTAGAAAAGATGATTTTGAAAACTAAGAGCAGAACAGCAACATAGAGGGAGAGGTGCATTTGTGTTTGTTCTGCATCTTAATTTTAAAACTATTATTTGGGCCGAAAGCAGTGGCTCAGGCCTGTAATCCCAGCACTTTGGGAGACCGAGGCAGGTGGATCACCTGAGGTCGGGAGTTCGAGACCAGCTTGACCAACATGGAGAAACCCTGTCTCTACTAAAAATATAAAATTAGCTGAGCATAGTGACACATGCTTGTAATCCCAGCTACTCTGCAGGCTGAGGCAGGAGAATTGCTTCCACCTAGGAGGCAGAGGCTACAGTGAGCAGAGGTTGCGCCATTGCACTCTAGCCTGGGCAACAAGAGCGAAACTCCATCTCAAAATAAAAAAAATAAAATAAAATAAAATAAAATAATAAAACGATTATTTGGCGATAAATCTTATCTTTAATTTCATAATCTACTTTGCATGAAGGCATTTGTATTAAAAGATCCTATATGTATTTAGTTTCTAAAAAATTAAATGCAGTATTTGATACTAATACTTTAAAGATTTCACCTTATATGTTTAAATCTATCATATGAACTTGATCAAATATTTTGTAATCTACATATTGCTATACAAAGGATTAGATATTCTATACAGTCTTGTGTCATTTACAATTTAGTCAATATGCTTTTTTCACAAATCATCAGAAAAATGCAAATAAAAAAACCACAATGAGATACCACCTTACCCCAGCCGCAATGGCCAATATTAAAAAGCTAAAAAAGTAGATATTGGCATAGATATAGTGAAAAGGGAATGCTTATATCCTGTTGGTGGGAATGTAAATTAGTACCACCTGTATGGAAAACAGTATGGAGATTCCTAAAAGAACTAACGGTAAATATAATTCAATACAGCAATCCCACTACTGTGCGGATACTCAAAGAAAAATAAATCTAAATAAAGTAATGAAATACCTTTGTCCTTAATCGTTGATAAAATCTTCAGTATTGGAAGTGAAGTTATATATGTTCTGGATGTTATCATTTTAGTTATTTTACATTTGAAAGAAACATTTTAAATATTTCTTTTAAATTTTACTAGTGGTAAATTTTTTGTTGTTGTTGTTTGTTTCCGGGTTTTTTTTTTTTTTTTTATTTGAGACGGAGTATCGCTCTGTCGTCCAGGCTAGAGTGCAGTGGCATGATCTCGGCTCACTGAAAACCCCGGCTCACTGAAAACCCCGGCTCACTGAAAACTCCGCCTCCCGGGTTCACACCATTCTCCTGCCTCCGCCTCCGGAGTAGCTGGGACTGCAGGCGCCCGCCACCACGCCTGGCTAATATTTTTGTATTTTTTTTTAAATTAATTAATTAATTTATTATTATTATACTTTAAGTTGTAGGGTACATGTGCATAACGTGCAGGTTTGTTACATATGTATACTTGTGCCATGTTGGTGTGCTGCACCCATCAACTCGTCATTTACATCAGGTATAACTCCCAATGCAATCCCTCCCCCCTCCCCCCTCCCCATGATAGGCCCCGGTGTGTGATGTTCCCCTTCCCGAGTCCAAGTGATCTCATTGTTCAGTTCCCAAGGATCTAGAACTAGATGTACCATATGACCCAGCCATCCCATTACTGGGTATATACCCAAAGGATTATAAATTATTTTTGTATTTTTTTTAGTAGAGACGGAGTTTCACCGCGTTAGCCAGGATGGTCGCGATTTCCTGACCTCGTGATCCGCCCGCCTCGGCCTCCCAAAGTGCTGGGATTACAGGCATAAGCCACCACGCCCGGCCGGTACATTGTTTTAATTAAATCATGTAAATTACTGTAAAGTTTTGTTTTCTTCATATCTCTTAACATTTATATATTTGAGTGTTTATAAAATGTATAAACGTTTATATATTTGAGAGTTTTGAAAATTTATAATAAAAAAATGTGATATTAAATTTTTGTATGAGAATATATCTTGTTATCATATACATTCATTCCATAAAATTAGGTATATGTAAGTAATCCCCGTTGTTTGAAATTACATAATGCTATCCTTTGCTTGAAGTTGTGATATTCCTAACCTTCTAAATTGTCATATGAAACATGAATACACACACACACACACACACACGATCTCAACGGAAAAAAAAAATATTTTCTATACACATTCCAGTTCATTTTTAGATTTGTTAGTGTGTAAACATTTTCAATTATAGGACAGAAAAGATTCCTCTTCCAAAAAGGGAGGTACATGTTGACATGTATGTCATCATTTGTGAATCATCAATCATCATTCATGATTGAGAAACCATTCTGTATTCTCACATAATTAGGTTTAGATACTGAAATATTTTAGTCCTGTTATAAGATGTGCAAAGATATTTTAAATAGCATTATATTCTCAGAAATAAGATTATGTAGATTTAACACTTCTTAATAATTATCTATTTCTATTTACCCATTAATTACAATGATTAAATATCTTTCAAGATTCTCAAAATAGAAAACTTGTAACACACGATAAGAAAATGACATATTTTTAAACCAACCCTCCTCTATTTCTGGATACTTGAGGTCACTATTTCTTCTACCTTATAATCCACTCATTCAGAAATATCTTAAATTTCCAAGGGAGACATCCGAGGCTTGTTTGCTTTTGCAAGGTTTCCAGGCCCCTAAGAGTCAAGGAATTCAAAGTAGTACACAGAGCTGGAGAAATTAACTTACAGAGATGGATATAATTTGGGGCATGCACACAGGGGCCTGACTGATTTTAAATGTACAGAATTATCTACTTCACGTTTCATAATGTCTTCTTTATTGTACTACATATGGAAATGCCAGTAAAAACTATTAAGCTAAAAAATACTTTATGAAAGTTGTAAAATGTTAGTTTGCATTGCATTTCAATAAAAAATTATGGCTAATTCAAAACTCTGTTCATTACCTCTCTCTTTTTCGAGTTCAGTTCCTGCATCACTCCCTAAAAAGTCCTGTGGGCATTTGAAAGGTTGGTTCCTATATATACACACACACATATATATGTGATACATATATATGTGATACATATATATGTGTGTGTGTATATATATATATAGAGAGAGAGAGACATTGAGGCTAAGAGGAAACCACTCCTAAGTTGTGGTATGATTGTTTTCATACTGAGAAATAGCACATATTTTATCTATAGTGAAATTCATAAGAATGCAGAAATAAAAGTGTGAACTCTACTAATAAACAGGAAAAACTATTCTGCTAATTTTTTAAATTAGGTGAGAAGTGACAAAATATTTTTGAAAATAAGTAACTCCAATGAAACATAAAGAATATATGATTTTTTAGGGTAGTTAGTAAGAAAACATGCTTTCTTTTCCAAAAAGTGTTTTTTCAAACAATATTCTCTAAATCTTTTAAATTTAGTTATCACTATATTCTTGCTCTCAGGGGGCCTACACAGCAGTTGTAAAGATAGGACAGCTCTCAAATTTATGTAAAACATGAATGAAAGGGAAGAAATTCAAAAGTAACCAAGTTTATCATAAAATGTCAAGATTACAGAATTGGGAATTTGAGAGCTAAATTCGTATTTTTTTAAAAAATATATTTTTGTACACCTTCTCTATAACTGTGTGATTCATGTATTCTAGAATTATGACCATAAAAGAGTAGCAAGTGAAGAATTCCAAAACATAAGAAATTAGTTACGGTATATTGATAAAATGTCAGCAATAGGTCATTTCTTAAAACACACAACATTTGATGAATTTTTAAAAACAAATGAAAAAATCAAGAAATGCCAAAATATAGAGAAAAGGGCAGTTTTGTATAATCATTTGATACAATAGTGGTTCATCTTACCTCTACTACCAGTTGCTGAAGAGATGGTGATGCTACAGGATGTAGACTAGAGTTTCCCCTTAAGGGACTGTGGATGCTAATATAAGCCACAACATTTTTCTGAAGAACCTTCTTGAAATCCTAAAATCAAAAAAAGGATCCATCTGTAACACAAATAAATAGATTCTACTTTATTAGTTAGATACTGAATAATGAACAATTCATACCTAAAATTATTATACTGCATAATTACCTTCTTTTTTATTATTTATTTTTTATTTATTTATTTATTTTTGAGCCAGAGTCTGGCGCTGTCGCCCAGGCTGGAGTGCAGTGGTGCCCTCTCCGCTCACTGCAAGCTCCGCCTCCCGGGTTCACGCCATTCTCCTGGCTCAGCCTCCCGAGTAGCTGGGACTACAGGCGCCCGCCACCTCGCCCGGGTAGTTTTTTGTATTTTTAGTAGAGACGGGGTTTCACCGTGTTAGCCGGGATGGTCTCCATCTCCTGACCTCGTGATCCGCCCGTCTCGGCCTCTCAAAGTGCTGGGATTAAAGACATGAGCCACTGCGCTTGGCCATAAGTACCTTCAAAGTGATCCTATACTATTAATAGTGTACACAAAGATTATAAAAGGAATTTAAACAAGAATGATGAGTTAGACATAACATACAATAAAATATTTTAAAGCATGTTCCTGACAAAGTCAAATTTTAACAGAAAATGTTCTTCAAAGGTTAACGTAGTATGGATTCAACTACAGAGTATGAATGCAACTTAATTTTAGAGTCACTGAATGAGAGGAGAGGTATAGGTAAACCACTCCAGTGAGGAATAAAACCAGCCCTTCTCTTTTGAAGCAATGAGCTACTCTGCACAAAATAACCCTGTATTATGAGCAAAATGGGGCATAATACAATGTAATCTTGCAAATATTACCTTAAAAAAAAAAAAAAAAACCTGATGAATTTCATGCACACAAGCAACACTGAATGATTCCATAGAATAGTTTTCCACTTCTCTTCTGCTCTTTACCGCACAAAATTGAAGACCACTGATCCTATTAAGAATGACCACTAAGTCTTTCTGTTATTTCCCTGCTTTTTTATGCAAGCATTTAACAAATAATCATCATGGTGGGTGGCAGTTCTACAGAAATGTCCTAAAAGATTACATTATGTCATAACTTAGGAAAGTATCTTTCTTCTTCTAATACTATGAAATGAAAGACTACAAGGACTCGTACACCTGCCAAATTGATAATGTCATCCTGTTTTATTTTTTTATTGTAAATGGCTTAAAATTGTATAATTTTATGGAGTACCAAGTGATGTTATGATTTATGAATATAATATGGAATAATTAAATTAAGCTGGTTAACATATTCATCACCCCAAATAATTAACATTTTTTTGTGATGAGAACACATAAAATTTACTTAACAATTTTGAAATGTATAATACTCTATTACTAAGTATATTCACCACACCACACAATACATAATAGAAGTTGACCATTTTCTCCCCATTCCCTCCATACCCTAGGCCAAAACCACCATTCTACACTCTGTTACAGATGAGTAGATAAAATGTGTTATATATGCACAATGGAATACAATTTAGCCTTGAAAAACAAGAAACTTCTCTCCTTTGTGATAACGTGGATGAAACTGGAGAATACAATGCTAACTAAAAGAAACCCGGGACGGAAACATAAATCCTGCATATTTTCACTGTTATCCATATTTTATGTTGAAAATTCATAATTTCAACATATTGAAATTATGTTGAATTTCAATTCTGTAAGAGGGTGGAAAATACAATCATTTAAAATTAATAAACATCTTAAGTGCACATAAATGATGAATTTTAAGCTTGAGTAATTTCTCCATAATTATTGTTCAAAAATATCTGTTACTTAAGTGCTGTGAAATATCAGCTTCTATTAGCACACTACCACACAAACACTGTCTATATGTTAGTCTATATAATTCTCATGAGAACCTCGTAAGATAGGCATTAGTAGACTCATTGGAGGAATCAAGTCTTAGGGAAGTTAATCTTGCCTAAAATGACATGTTCTATGGTAAAGAGAATTTGAACTATGAATTCTTTTACTCTAATATCTATAATATTTCCACAATAGCCTCTGACAAATGAAGATTCTTCACAGAAGAAATGGTACTTTTTAAAGTATAGAACCTATTTAGCAAAATGTTATAATTTTTCTCAAAGATCAAGATCAGTATTTAATCATTTCTCTAATAATTCTGTCTATGATTCCATTTTAAGTTTATTGATCAACATCACCTAATCCTCTTAACTACAACTGTGGGTTTCCAGAGGTTTCTATGCAAGCATAATTAAATGGGGCAATGTGATATGTCAATAAGGGCTTTCCTCACTCCCCTTCATAGGGGGATATATTTAAAGCATAATTAGTTTCAATCTAACATAAACTCTTTCATTCTCAGGAGTACATTTGACATGAGTAGGCAAAACAGGACAACTAGCAATTTTCTAAATTTCTCTTCAACAGGATGTTTACAAAATGGCTTCATGAATTGCATTGAACAATCTCGTGAGACACAGTAAATTATAAAAATATATTCCATAAGCCCATAATCAAATGTATATTATTTACCATGTTCATTACTCATATATCCTTGCCCATCTAGTCACCTAAAATGCCAGTAAATGAATGTGTAATGAGTTGCCAAATGTAAATACATATATAAACATTCAAAGACACTGGTACTTGTCTTGAATACGAACAACCTTTTTAACAAAATTTTTTTCCTGTGAACTCCCACATTGTAGTTGCTGTATTTTTAGCATAATTGACTAAGAAAATATACAATTATTAAAAGGTGCAATGACTTCACAAAAACTTAAAAATGAATGTGTATTAACCACAAAAATATCAACTTACTTTGACAAAAACTATTGCTGACACACATGCAAGCCCACATTGATTCAACTTACAGGTTCTGACGCCTGATGCTCAACTAAATTTTACAATAAATTTTCCCATCCATCGGGGTTTCAGATGTTTACATTAGAAACTATTAATTTAGACAAGCCTAGCCTATTCTAAAACATAGTTCAGAAATATATGTATTAATTTAGAATTAACATAAATTAATTGTGAAAGTTACTAGATAGGTATCTAGAAGACCTAAAATATAGTTTGATATAGCAAAATACATCTTTAGAATTTGAAAAGAATCTTTAAGACATTTTAAAGATATGTGCTTTAATGTTACAGGAAAACTAAAACATTGTTTCTGATTTATTAAAAATGGTATAGATTACAAACATATTCCCTAAACTGTTCTTTAACTTGTTTACCAATCTTTAAAGTAATTTGGAATGTGAGTTTGAGAGGTTGGTTCATCTATTTCATTTCCAGCTTACTTACAAATGTATCAACTTAAAAAGATTCTTTAAGCAAAGGAATTTTTTCATTTGAAGTAGTTCTTTTGAATATGGCTCAAACATACACACCACTCATTTGCATACAGAAAAGCATTCCAATTTGCAATGTGTGAATCTGGATGAATTTTACACTGAAAAAAAATTTTCTCATCTTTAAGTCTTTTCTTTCCTTCAAATTAAAAAAGATACTTGCTATGTTCTTTTCTATACCTTTTTAAATATTTTCTTTGATTTAATAGATATGTTATCATTTTTGGGTGATTAAAAATAAAAATGTAGCAAAATAATTTCCTATTACATTTTTCTCCTCAAAGTTGAAGTAGTGAAAAAACTATAGTATTAAATTATCTTACTTTCCTAGTAAAATTATGTAGTGTTTTTTGTCTACATATATCTATTGAACCTCTTTTTTAAAACAAATCACAAAAGTAAATAGAATTTCTATCAATCCAATTATCAGTTATCATATTCCATTAAAAATACAGTGCATTTATGAGACACAGATCTGTCAGAAGCATTCGAGACTTAAATTCTCCAATATTTCAGTTGTATTCTAACTGTACCTCATTGCATGCTAGATTTCATTTGGATACAGGTTTCCTAAGGTGGTTAGATAGGTAGGTAGGCAATAGATAGGCAGGTAAGAAACGAAAGGTAGGGAGTTAAGGGTGAAAGGGTGGAGTGGAAGAAGGAGAAAAAAGTGGATTTTAAAATGTATTTTACATTCAGGATCCATATTGTATAGATAAAATGTAATGCAAAGGTAATAAACATTTAATATAGGAGATTGTTCCCTAATTCCAGATTATTCCTAGAAAGTGTAGAAAAAGAAAGATAATATGTATCGTCTGATCCTTTTTTTGTCCAATGCCTGTCATCCTGTCTTCTAAAGAGAAATACAACAACAAGGTAAACACTATTGTGTGTTAGACTGTATCAGGGTTTGTAAGTCTGGTAACAATAGGGATAAGATATTTGAAGGTCATATGTAGTTTGCTGTGGTCTAGCTCTAATTCTGTCTTATTCTTATAAGCCATCTCAGCAAATTAGGCAATAGGACACTTTAGTTGACAAGCACATTATTGCCCTTGGCCTTGAAAAGTTTACTTTGTCTACTTTAGCAAACTAAGAAAAGAAAAGAAAAGCACTGTAATTAATGTATATTCTGCTTTACCTCTCCCCATTCATATGAGCCAATATTGCCAAAAGCTGTTCCTCCCCAAGAACAGAAAACAATAGTTCGGTCTGGTCTCCACCCTCTCTTAACTTTTGACATCAAGGCACGGATAAACGCTGTGATTATTGCAGTACTACTGGCCCATTCTTGTCCATTATAACTGTGTGCAGTGTGATGATGGCTGCCAACTATGATATACCGGTCTGAAAATAGAAAGGGACAAGAGCCATTTAAAAAAATGTAAACCTTAACAATAAGTTTAATGACATTTACATAATCCTACTGCACAACTGAGCAATAATTAAGCAAAATTGTTCTAATAATTAAGACTACTTTAATTTTTTTTGCCCACTGTCTTAATTCACACATCTGCATATATCAAAGCTGAGGCAGCTGCTGAACACAATTATGAATCCAAAGCTTAGATCCATATTACTCTCCTTTATAACATGAATATTAATTAATGAAGCATACAAATAGGCCACAATGAAACCCTTATCTAACATTTTTCCAGACTCAGAGTGGGAAGTGCCCTGTAAACAATGTGTGTATGCTCAGTAAATATTAATAAACTAATACATATAAGAAAACACTTATACAGTAGCTTTAAATATTAAAAATGTGGTAGTCATGTATGGATTCTGCAATAAATTAATTCCATAGGGAATTAATTACAGCTTCCAACTTATAATTGTAGGCCTTCTCCTTCCTGTGAAGAAAAAATAAAATAAAATTCACCAATATCAAAAGTCATTCAACTGTTATAAAAGTTGCCTTTTACATATTTTATTTCATACAATCATTTAAAATTTATTAGATACACTATTAGGAGAGCCTTCCTAACACATGGAAGTAGCCTATTCAATGTACATTACTGAATATTTTCGATAATAAGGCTGAAAATGCCCCTCGAGAGTTTCCTCTGATTTTGTTGTCAGTGAATGTTATTGGTAATAATAACAAATCTGAATTTATCTGACCAAGTATCCTCATATATCTATGCAAAAATTTTTCTTCATTGAATATCATTTTATTACCAGATGTCCCAAAACTGGATGATAAATTGTGTAGACCCTGAATCCAGCCTGCTTGGTTTAGAATTCAGGCTTTGCAAGTTACTAGTTGCGTGACCTTGGAAAGCTTATTTCAACTTTCGATGCCTTAGTATTTTCATCTCTAAGGTAGGAAAACAAACAGTACATCCTACATTTAGTTGTTTTGAATTTTAGGAGTCATTATTTTGTAAGCCACTTTGAACAATGCTCAACACAAAGGAGGTCTTATACATGTGTGGAATAAATGAATCACCCTTTGACTTATAACACCAAAAAGCTACCTTACAATAAATGTCACGGTATGAAGATATTTTAGTTTTCCACACAGGAATTGGCAATGGATTTGATCTGCCAACATTTTATTCAGATTTAATTAATGGGACCGGGCATGGTGGCTCACACCTGTAATCCCAGCACTTTGGGAGGCCGAGGCAGGTGGATCACGAGGTCAGGAGTTCAAGACCAGCCTGGCCAAGATGGTGAAACCTCGTTTCTACTAAAAATACAAAAATTAGCCGAGTGTGGTGGTGGGCACCTGTAATTCCAGCTATTTGGGAGGCTGAGGCAGGGAATTGTTTGAACTTTGGAGGCGGAGGATGCAGTGAGCCAAGATCATGCCACTGCACTACAGCCAGGTGACAGAGTGAGACTCGGTCTCAAAAAAAAAAAAAATAGATTTAATTAATGGTATACATAGTGTGATAATGTGTCTACAAATGTTAAAAACCCAATAATTTATTCACTTATCTCCCATAAATGTCTCAAAGTTTTGCTTGGAATTGTCTGCATTCTAAATAAACCGTATCTAACAAACAAAGCTAATTGATGATTTTTTTCTAATCTTCAAAGTTATTAAATAAAATGTCATGTAAATAAAGTCAATTTTTTGTAAAATTCAAATAAGCAACACTTCAGAAGCTTTGCATAATTCACTGAAGAATACTAATGGTAAAATTGATTTTTTAAATTTCAGGAGTATATTTTGTAGATAGAATTTTCTTCAGTCTAAAGCTAGTATAATTTGTACAACTGGGTTTTCCAATAACAACTTGTGAATGAATCAGTGATGATAAATATTCTAGTGCTTCAACAGAGAACCTTATGATGGAAATTTGTTGAAATTCAATAGTAACAATTTTCAAATTTATTTTTATCTTGTATTTAAAGAACTATAATCAGAGGTTGTTCAACATTGTACCTGTAAAGAAATCAGAGAAAATAACTGGCTTTCATGAACTTTGTAAGAGTTGGCCAGCAAGAAACTGGGAGGCTATAAAACTTGATCTTAAAATTCTGAGCTAGCAACTAGGCCGATTTTACCAAAGTCATGAAGAAGAATAATTCTCCAAGGAGAACTTGTGTAAATGTCCCCAAATCAACAGAAGTAGCAAAAGTGTAATAAAAAGATTGTTAAATGCTACACTGTATAACAGGCACATTAGGCAGTAATATGTGATTCAGTCTTACAATGTGTTTGGAAGTATTGCTATTAATCTCTTAATTAGCCTACATAATATCTGAAGATTCCTTTTTTTTTTTTTTTTTTTTTGAGATGGAGTCTCTCTCTGTTGCCCAGGCTGGAGAGCAGTGGCACAATCTCTGCTAACTGCAACCTCCGCCTCCCAGGTTCAAGCGATTCTCCTGCCTCAGTCTCCTGAGTAACTGCAGGTGACCATTTGCAGACATTTGACAAATTTGACAATGGACCAAGGATACAGAGTGGGATGTAGATTAAAACTGGACAACTAAATTTGGAGACCAAAACTTGTATTTATAAAAAAACACATCATTAAAAACTAAAATCTTTCTTGGCCAGGCATGCTTGGCTCACCTCTGTAATCCCAGCACTTTGGGAGGTCAAGGCGGGTGGATCACATGAGGATAGGAGTGCAAGACCAGTCTGGCCAACATGGTGAAACCCTGTCTCTACTAAAAATAAAAAATGAAAAATTAGCTGGGTGTGGTGGTGGGTGCCTGTAGTCTAAGCTACTCAAGAAGATGAGACACAAGAATCACTTGAACTCGGCAGGTGGAGGCTGCAGAGAGGGAAAAAAAAATCATTCTTTAAAATGTCTTCTTAATAAAAATAAAATGTTCTATGATGTTATGGTGAGTATAAGAAAAAAAGAAAACTTTGGCTTTGTAGAACATGCCAGTTTACCAAATCTAAACTCTGTTTCTTGTTTCATCCCATCCTGAGACACCCCCACCTCTCTCTCTCTCTCCCCCGACTAAGATTTATTTTGCAAGAGATATGGTAGGAAAGAGAATGAAGACCCACTTCTTAGTTTCAAATTTATCTACTCTAAGAGTGGGACAAATTTCTAGTTACATCTAAAGTAGGATATTTAAGTATGATATTAAATTATTACAGAGCATTTCCTTGTAAAGTTCCATAAAAAGTGTAGATTATAAATATTTAACCCAACTTACCTGGAGATGTCAAGCCCATTACGTATCCAACAACATTAGTAACTGTTTTCAATTTTGTCACCGTCTGAACTCGCATACTGACGACTCTTACTTCTGAAAAAAATAAAAATTTAAAGACTTTTGTTTCTTTATATTTTATTGTATTTTTTAAACCTTAAAATTTATTTATCCAATATCATCAGCAAAAGAATTCCACAGAATTGAATGTTCTCAGATAACCAAAGTTATACTTTTTCTGACAAATATTTATTCAATACTTTGTACAGATTCTATTTTAGGTGCTTGTTATGCAATGATGACTAAGATACAATTGCTAGCATCTTTGAACCTCAGAGCCATAAATAGGCACTTCTAAACCTTACATTCAGTTCTACAATGAGGGTTCATTATGAGAGCATTCAGAAGACCTTCAGGAGATGTGGGCAACTCATGTTTTTAAAAAGGGAAAAAAATAGATTAAAATATTTCCAAAGAATATTGAACACTTTTCTATTTTCAGATAAAGAACATGTGGACAATAACCTTTCCAGTATGACTCACTATTTTATTAACACTTTAAAAATGGTAAATAAAGCGTTACACAACATAAAAAGATAAAGATTCTTAAAGCTGTACATGTTTTCATATATTAGAGTTTTTATTTCTATCTGGGTTTGTAGGTTCCTTACCTCTATTCTAAATCCGTACTAATCACTCTACCTCTTTGAATTTTTCTGTTTATGTTTGATATTGAAAAATTTTGCAAATAAGGCAAAGACACAAATCAGGAGGGACTCTAGTCACAGAACTGACATAGTCTCTGGAGATGAAATGTATTAATCCTGTATTTGAAGGATCCTGAGAAGTCTGGGTTGGGAAGTGGCTCACAGGATCTTTAAAGTTTTCCTTAAAGCAGAGGTTTAGGAGTAGCTAGGTGTTAGTGTCAGGGCAGAGCATGGCAAATTTGAAAGCAGGTAATGCAAAGTAGCCACATTATACTGGCAGGCCCACAGACGTTCACTTCTTACTGCTAGATAGAAATTGTTCTAATAAATACATTACTTCTTTCCCTCAATGTACCCTTTCAAACAAATTAAATGGAAAATCAGTACACAGAATTCATTAAAATAATAACCAAAACAAAAGTAAAGAGGCCTTTAGAGAATGCCTGAGTGCATTATCTATCTGTGAGTAAATCTATGTAGAGCCTGAGCATTGTGCTTTTAATTTAGGTACTATGCATTTTTGTTTGTTTTTCAATTAATAGACTTTGTTTTTTAGAGCATTTTGGGTTTACAAAAATACTAAGCAGAAAGTACACAGTTCCCAAATATCCTCTGTCTCCCAAGCCTCCTATTACTGTGGAACATTTGTTACACCTGATAGATTGTGGAACATTTGTTACACTTGCATTACTGTGGAACATTTGTTACACCTGATAGACCAATAATGACACATAAAATCCATAGTTTACATTGGGGTTCACTCTTTGTGTTGTATATTTGATGGGCTTTAACAATGCATAATGAGGTATATCCATCATGATAGTATCATACAGGATGGTTTCACTACTCTAAAATCCCCTATGTGCCACCTCTTCATCCCTCCTTCTCTCCCTCTCTCCCCCAAAACCCCTGACAGCAACCACTGATCTTTTTACTGTCTCATAGTTCTGCCTTTTCAAGATTGTCATAGCACTGGGCTCGTATGTTTGTTTGTTTTGACTGTTTATCTAATTCCCTGCTCAAGGTTTGTTCCAGATGATCCACATAAGTGAACTTTATAGACTCTTTACCTTATACCTTTCAATGACCTTTCCTGCTTATTTTAGATATAGATATAGATGAAGAATCTTTTCTGGTTTTCTAAAATTTAATATATTTTTGTCTAAGTTAGCTGTGAGCAAACCTCACAATATGTATAGTGTACTCCTTGCAATATTACCTTGCATTAATATAGTGCTTAAAATTTACAATAACCATTTTCACACACATGTACTAATTCTTACTGGACCACATTCTTACTTGAAGTAGCTAGAGTGGTCATTGCCCAATTCCCAACAGTTTTTGGGGTGTCCTGTTTAGAAGGGGGATTAAGAAGTGAAGCCACCTGGACTTCCTGGGTCGAGTGGGGACTTGGAGAACTTTTCTCTCTAGCTAGAGGATTGTAAACACACCAATCAGCACTCTGTAAAAACGCACCAAACAGCACTCTGTGTCTAGCTAAAGGATTGTAAGTACACCAATCAGCACTCTGTAAAAATGCACCAATCAGCACTCTGTGTCTAGCTAAAGGATTGTAAATGCACTAATCGGCACTCTGTAAAAACACGCCAATCAGCTCTCTGTGTCTAGCTAAAGGATTGTAAATGCACCAATGAGCACCAAGAACAAAGCTTCCACAGTGTGGAAGGGGATCCGAGTGGGTTGCTGCTGCTGGCTGGGGTGGCCAGCTTTTATTCCCTTATCTGTCCCCACCCACATCCTGCTGATCAGTCCATTTTGTAGAGTACTGATTGGTCCATTTTACAGAGTGTTGATTGGTCCATTTTGCAGAGTGCTGATTGGTGCATTTACAATTCTTTAGCTAGATACAGAGTGCTGATTGGTGCATTTTTACAGAGTGCTGATTGGTGCATTTACAATCCTTTAGCTAGACACAGAGTGCTGATTGGTGCATTTTTACAGAGTGATGATTGGTGCATTTACAATCCTTATATTATTCCATACTCACATCTGAAAATAAATATGCATAGAGTCTGTTTTTCTTCACTAGAGTCAGCACCATAATCACATTTTAAATTTTAATAATAAATATCAGAAAGATCTTGAATAAACTTGCTGTAAAGACACATCTGCTGCTGTTGGCATAGATAATTTGAACAATCCATTGGTAAGGCAATATTACTCTTCATAGCAATAACAAAAGCAATCCTGTACCTTGAAATGTATCCTACAAGAATAATTCAACTCTCTGCAGTATAATCTACAATAGCAATAATAGAAAACAACATAAACTTCTGAAACAGGGAAATGACTTAGAAAATTGTGATAAAATGTGTGGCTGTTAAATATAAAAAGAATATATAGAAACATGAATATGCTATAAGTGAAAAGAAAAGAATACAGAGGGATATACAGAATGATTGAACTTAGGTAAAAACATGTATGATTATGAACAAACTATGAAAAAGGAGGGATTAAATAGTGGAACAGAAATTGGGTTTAGCAGGCCTTCCCAAATCTACTGGAGCGAGGCACTGTTGTAAAAAGGCTTGAACAAACCTGCACTCTGGGGTAGTTCTTCTCCAAATCCCCAGGGATGGTGGAATTAAAACCTAGAGAGATTGTCTCCTCCTAGTGTAGCACCTGATAACATTGAACCCTTTTTCACCATAGAAACTTTTAGAATTTTCCTCTTTATTTTTGTGCTTTTTGAATTTAATTATAAAATATATAGGTGTGTTTTTTCCTTTTTTTCTGGAAAATTTATTATTACTTTTTTGACCATTTTCTCTCTCCCATTTTTTCCTTCTTCTAATACTGTTTCTACAACTCCATTTTAATCCACTGTATCTTTTAGTTGTACTTTTGTATTTATTTATCCTAGATCCAGCCTGTCTGGATCTAGAAGGTCAATCTGATCTTCTAGCTCTTGAATTTATTCTTCAGTGACATCTATCTATGACTGTATCTATCTACCTACCCTAACTATTACTGTATTTCTTTCAATTATCTTATTTTCTACACCTATTATGTCCTCTCATTTTTAAAAATGTTTTCTGATTTTTGTTTTATATTGCTAATATATTTTATTCTCTTTTTGAGTTTAACTTTAATCCTTATTTTAAATTCTTATACCATGTGTTCCAATATGGTAACTTTGGGTGGTATATGTATTTGTTGTGCTAATTTTCTTTGATGGTGGTTGTGGACCTCAGGATCTAGCTATTTTGGCCTGTGGTCCAGCATGATATATCAGGGCCCAAGGATGGTGGGGATAGTGTCTAAGTGTGTGTGTGTGTGTGTGCGTGTGTGTGTATGTGTGTCTGCATGTGTACCTGTTTGTGAGAAGGCCTGAATATGAGGAGGAAAGCAACTGCCAGGGGAAATAGTGCAATGAGATAAGTGATTGAAGCAAAGTGAGAAGGCCATCTGAATTTAAGAGCTGAATAGCATATAGTGTTAGATCCTGGGTGGACTGAGGAAGTTAACCAGACTGTGGTAGGGGCAGACAGAACATTTGATATAGAGTGAATAGCCTGTATGTAACAGTGTCTAGGGTTGGATCCATTGTGAAGGGAGTAATGGCATCAATTGATTACATGCAGGGGATCTAATTACCTAAGTAAATATATTCCATTTAATGAGAAGGTGATTTCTAACTGCTAGAGAAAAGACTTACAAACATGGAAAGATAAATAAAACTCGGTGTTGATATGTTTTCATGGTTTTATATGTATATATATATAAAATTTGTTTTAATTATATTTATATTTAAATTATAAAATTTAATATATTTTAATTATATATTATATACAAAACCATGAGGACATATGAGTTTATATTAATTTATATATTTATATATATAAAACCATGAGAACATATCTATATAAGTTGTTGATTGTATATATATCTATATATATCCAAGAGAACATACATATATATAAAACTGTGTGTATGTGTGTGTATAACACCCACACACGTAGATTTAAAAGTAAATACAGATATGTCTGAGTGTATAGATATATTTTTATATATTTACATAAAATATAATATTAAAATATAATTATATTTTCCTAGTTTTATTCACTGAGTAGTATGGAGAGAAGCAACACTTCAATAGCAATAGATGAATCTAGATTTATTTTTCTAGACTATTCTCCACTTAAAGGACCTAGAGTCTTTGGAGAAATGGCTGATAACAGAGCTGGCACAGGAAAAGTACAAGACGATTTAGTATGTCTTATAGTGCCAAAAACTAAGTAAATACATGAAGAATAATGAGTACATGTCAAAGGACACAGAATCCATCTGAAGTTGCTATTACTGGCTAACATTTGACAATCTGAGCATCAAGATATAAATAGCACTGGTATATAACCTATTGAATCT